CTGTTCTGTTCTGTTCTGTTCTGTTCTGTTCTGTTCTGTTCTGTTCTGTTCTGTTCTGTTCTGTTCTGTTATATTTTTATGGTCAATGTTTCTAAAAACCTTGTGTGAAATTATGTTTCATTTTCTTTGCACAGCGATAGAGACTTTTTCTAAATCTTTTGTTATGGGTGTTAAATTTTTCCTTGCCCCTCTCCCATTTTCCATCTTGTGTCGGAGCACATGATGTATCACCTATAAATAAGGTGCGCAGTTTCAAAGAGGCTTCAATTTAGTCATGTTATCCTTGGTAGGCCAGTAGCTATTTGGGGACAGGGGCTCGTGTCCTCCCAATAATTTCCTCCTCCCTCCTTTCCAATCACAAACATCTAGTAACTGTACTGGCAGACAAGAAATTGTAATATATGCCTGAAGAAAGAGACGTTTGACAAGACCTATTATTCTATTAATCTTGCGATAGTTGAATAATAGTTAGAAACTCACCCTTTTAGAGCTTTTCTGGGGCCTGGGCAAAAGACAAGTTAGGACCCGTGCTGACGTCATCAAAACTTTAATTGTTACTCTTCTTGTTCTTGCTAGGAACGCTGTGTCAACTTTTTGTGGCCCTTCTCAGTTGTGGCCTGGGGCAATCTGCCCCCTACCCCTTTTTAACAGGCCAAGGTAGGAACATTGCAAAGCGGCGAGAAGCAATCCAATATAAATTAATCCAATGCGAAGGACAAAATGTGATCTAAATTATAAGAAAACTGATACTTTGCCCCGGCATCTGGGTTTCATCTGGGCTCCACAGTGTTATTGATAAGCTTGTAAATACTGAAAGGAGTTAGCATCACCCTTCCCCCAACCACGTAGCCGTATGTGTCGGCTAGGGGGGGGGGGGGGAAAAGCAAGAACCATACCTCAGGGTGGCAGGCTTTAAAACAAGAAAACAGATATATAGCAAACAGATATATTTGGACAAAATCAAGGTCATGGTAAATATGCTAATTTTCAAATATAAATATGCTAAATTTCATAATATAAATATGCTAAATTTTCAAAATATCATTTGAAAAAACTGTAGCCAGAGGGGGCAAGCTGTTGTCGGGGGGGGGGGGTTTGGGGGGGCACAGCCCACCTTCCCCCCTCTTGCCTTCAAAGATAAAATGAAAAATAATGACCAATTCCAAAGAGCATAAAATCGACAATAGAATTATATAACTAATTTTATGCTGATGTTTTTCCCTGGCATTTACTTTGCCGCATCCTTCCTCCCCTACATGATCGATTGCACAAACAGCCACCCGATTGCTACAGTATAAGGGGATAATTAACTGGCTAGACACTTTTCAGTCGGATAAGTTCGTGACGTGGGAAAATTCCGTATTGATATGCAAAAAGACAGATAATCATATTGACGAGAAAGTGATCGGGCCGATTACACAGAACATGGCTTTTTCACGCTACTTTTAGTCTAGTCAAGTCCTGTCAAAGTCGCACTTTCCACTTGGGCTATTGTATCGACAAAACTTTAAAAAGATTCCATTATTTTTAGGCCGCTGTATATATATATACCTTTTCCAACCAGTGGCGGGGATGTGTGGGGGGCAAGTGTCCCCCAGGTTTTGCTAAATTGTCAGTCAAGACACACTTTTGCCGGTAAACTAGGTCATTTGCCAGCAAATTTGCTTGTTTTGTGGGCATTGCCCCCTTCCCACCTGGAAAACGAATTTCCGCCACTGTTTCCAACTTTATTTTAGCCCGCCTAGTCAAAACTGTTTCAAAACTTTAGTGCTGCAAATCTTTGAATTGCCCCCCTGGAGGCTTATTAACGCGACATGTCTTTGCATGCGGGACCATCAAAAGCATCATAGAGATGGGGGCAATTCACTCTTGTAAAAACGTACGACATTTTCTCCAAAGCAATAGGTTTTGTCGGGATTTTCAGATAATTCTTTTAAAGATGGCCCTTAATCGAATGAACCTAACATCTACGCATCTAGGTATTCAAATGATAGAACGAAACAAAACATAAATAACATACGTTACAAACTGAGCGTATAGTGTTCTTATTAACAAAGATTTTAATAGATAAAAATCAACCATTAAAGATAGTACACTTCTAAAGGGCTATTAATTTGCTCAAATAGTTTTCGCGTTTATGGAATGCAAAATTAATTCTTTTTGCTAGGACTTTGAAATGTCTTCTTGACACACCAACCAGAAAAATTTGTCTTTTAAAATCAGATTTGATATCCTGGGGGTATCTTTCCTCAGCAAATGAAATAACCTGCATTCTTTCTTTAGCATATAGATGAAGGATCATTGTAAAATGAAACTCATCTTCAACGTTATTACCAAAATTTGATAATAACAATAGTATTTCCACCAAAGGCTACCATGGAATGATTTGCCCCATTCATTCCGCCACTTTCAGTCTTACTGATTCATCCAGTTACATCAGCATTTTCAAATGTAGACATTTCCTTCAAACAATCAAGTCTTGCAATGTAGACTCACATTCCTAACTTATATACTCAGCGAATCATATTCACTCTTCAGATCCAGCCAATCAAGTATATCCTGCACGACCGATGAATCATTTCAGTGAATATCGCCATTATGCTTTCTGTTCTTCTTCCCTTGCAATGGTTCACCTTCCCTTGCTCCATGGACACGGATTAGAAGTGACAATATTAAGAATTAATATCGTTTGCAGAAAAACATATACAGGGCCTGCGTCACGAATTTGAGAGTGGGGGCAAAGGCTAGCAAAAGAAGGGGGCCAAGGTTTCTTTCCCCTTTTACTGCAGCTTTAAAACTACTTGCTTCGCAAAAAGTGGGGGGCCATGGCCACCCTGGCCCCGCTAGCAAATAAATGGCGGCTCATTCACATTCATTTTATTTTATCTTATTTTTACATGATTTCCATTCAGTTATGATATACAAAAAAGGGACATTGCAGCAATAATTTCATAAGATTACTCTCAAAGATTTAAAGTATATTACCTGATCTTCCATGGATTCGATCCGTGTTAACACAAAAGATGAGATCTTCGTGATCCTCTTTTAAATCGTACGATAGAATCGATATCTGCATTTTGGGATATTATTCTCAGCAAATGGACCAGTGCAGGGACCGCGGAAGGGGGAGGGCTACGTGGGCTTTAGCCCCCCCTCAATAATTTCCAGTGTGTACTTAGAACCATACCAAAAATCGCCGTTCTCTTGGTTTTCAGCATGTTTAGACCACCAAAACGTTTAAGGATGGTTGGCTTAAAACGTTGATAATTAGGAAATTTCACTCAGCAAATTATTTTAAATCAAGGGCGGATCCAGAGTAAATTTGAAGGAGGGGCAGTCGGTAGTGGTGGCGCTGAAAAATTTCCAAAAATTAGTGACGAGAGTACGCTGAATACAACAACGTCAGATCCATTTTCAGAATAAACAACATAACTTTGAGGTTATCCATGAAGCAAATTAACCTATCGATCTCAGAAACTTTTCACCTGATTCTCATTCTTCAAAAGGGGCAGAAATTTCCAAAAAAGGGGCGACAGACTTGCTTCAACTCGTCGAGGGAGAGGTAACTGCCCCTGAATTGTTTTAAATTCTCCCTTTAAAATCTTTCTCTTGGCTATTTCCCCCCCCCCTTTTTCTCTAGTTCTAGAATAAGTGGAGTTTTCTTACTGTTCAATCAATACTCTTATACCATCATGTTTTAAGAGTCCACGGATCTAGCAAAGTATTCATGCTTCCACTGTCTATGGAGCTGCAACTTCTTCAAGGGTTATGTTGAAAGGAGTGGTATGGGTTGGGGCGCACTTTGCAACACCCTTACAATACCACACCCATAGAAAACGTACAAGATAAAGTTATAAGAAACCGTACAAGATAATGTACACTTTCTTTTTTATAAGAAACTGGTTTATAAAAAACCTAGTACTAGAGCCCCAAAAATTTTAGAAATAAACCAATATCTTTAAGAAACTTGAAAAAAATAAGACGACTTTCTGAACAATCCATTTTTGCTTGATTTAAATTTGCTAACCCATTTTTATTTAGAGTAACACAGGATGTTGAGTCTTCTTGTAGTAGGAGGTGGGTTTCCGATAACTTTGCCATGAAGTACTTTTTTTTAAGTATCAGTTTTTCAGTCAATGCTCAGCAAGCAGTCCTCGTGTTTTTCGTGGAGTTTTATTTCATGGCAAATAGAAAAAAGCAAGCAACGTTGTTCAATTTCGAGTATTCAAGACGAGCATCTCACCGAGGAGAGTCCTATGATTAAGCTGCCCCGTTACAAGGTCCTTCGTTCGTTGAAGTTGAGAATGTCAGTTTGTATCGATGTCAACTATGTGGCAAGCATTCTAAGTCTAAAGCTGGATTGAAAATGCATGAAACTTGGAATCAAATCTTACTGTTGTGTTATAAACTTCAATACAATTAACATGCGAGGGAAAGTGCAAAATTTGATGTTGAATGCTTATCTAGAAATAAGAAACTTATGAAAAACTTTTAATACTAGAATCTGGTGAAAAATTAAGAAATTTTTAGCACTAGGACCCAAGCTAGGTTTCTTATAAAAGAAACGTGTATTTGACTTCGCCGTGATTTGTGTCTGTACTGTCGAGAGTCGAGACTTTGTAGCCATGAATATTAAAATTGCATAAAGAATGCAATCACAATAAAAGTAATAAAATTTAGCGACTGAACAGACATTCTTCTCTGCCATTCGATCTTGACAATTTTCTTTGTAGGAAAAAGGCCTATTAACCCTTTTTTAGAAACAGGCTCCAGCTATTACTTCAACCATTAGTGCCTGAAAAAAACTCTTTTTGAAGGAAAGGGACACTTTTCTGTCAAGACGAGACACTTTTTCTTACAAAACGGGCCTAAGTTTAATGCTTGAGAAAAACACCGGGTCATCGCCCCCTTCGGCACTAACACCTGTGCTCGGCTCCCCGCGTTCCTCAGCCGTAAGACCGCCTCCGAGAGACCGAGTCCGGTTGGACCGAATTCGAGTCTCGAGCGAATTTTCAGACATCGTCGGAGGCTGTTGGCAGACACAGACAATATTGGGTTACGTGAGCTATGATATCCTGTCTCAAGATACCATTGATTTCATTTTTTAAGCTGAGGTTGAGTCAGGCCTGGTAGGGAAAATAAGAGAACTGAAACGTAAATAAGGAACAGACAGAGGAAATAAACTCATTCGGGCTACTATTGCATTGGCTTGTTGCATGAGAGTATCAACGAGTTGAATGGGGGTCACAGCTGCATGGCTGGTGCGCAGAAACGGACCGACACGAAGGCGATGACAGCTGCTCGTTAGTTCTGTAGTCTACTCAGCGGCTTGTGTGACGAAGGGACAGACAGACAGAAAGAAAATCAAAGAAGGCAGTGGTCTTACACCAGAGGCTTCATCCTACCATTAACAAAACAGAAGAAACTGCGTGGAAACTGCTAACAATTATGCAAGAGCTTGAGGGATTCTGGCTTGTTACTCTCTCATTTTTCGCCATGCTGCATATGAATGAGGGTAAGTCTCTAATCTTTCAGTTTTCCAAAGGTTTAGCGGTACTTTTGCCATCCTTGAAATGTAGTTTGAGTGGAACACGCTATCGCTGAAGTGTCAATGTTAACTATCCGCAAAACCAGACAAGAGAATAAACTTAGAAAAACAATCCCCAAAGCCGTTTGATAGCCAGGATTTATTCGCACAGACGGATGATACGAAGGAAAATTCGTGAAATGTTTCTGAAGAATGGGGTACGAGACATGGTCATAGACGGTAGCTCTCTCTCAGTTCCCTGTGTTTAAGGCCAGGAAATTGCTTTTCGTTGATTTTATTTCGAGATGAAGGGTTTATAGAAGGATGCGGGAGCCTGAAAAATTGAAAAGTCCCCGAGACAGAGGCTGGAAAAAATTGAGAAAATATATTGGCTAGAAAATCTTTGAGATAAAACGGGCATAAGAAATCAACTGTCAGAAATTGAGGAAAAAAAATCCACGACGGCTAACTTAAATTTTTTACCTGCTTATCGCAAAACCTCTTATATTGAAACGACATGACTCAGATATTGAATTTGCGAAGCAACCTATTTGGTAATCTCTTATTTTACTACTGCGTACATAATCTCACCAACGTAAAATTCGGTGAGACACCGATTTCTGTCTCCCCGCCCCCCTTCCCCCACAAATAATACATACCCTGAATCCTTCAGCGTACGAATGAATTGTTGTCTAAAACGCAAAGTATCGGATGAATTTGAAAATACTTTAAAGTGGTCAAGTACTGCATTTTTCAGACATCTCAATACCAATGAGTTTCTGGTCGAATTTTAAATAGTCCAGTCATGTCTGTGAGTCACCGCATAGTGATACTAGGGCCTCCGATTAAGGGGGCCGGGGGCCATGACCCTCCAACATTTTTGCGAAATAATAATGCTTTTTCGTAATATTTTGTTGTGGGTGTTCAATTTCCCCTCCCCCCACCCACTTTCCAGCCTGTGTCGGAGTTCATGAATACACGTTTTCTCATACGTGATATGTGTTCCCAATCAAATCACTCAAGCAGTTGATTCTATACATTAGGGTGGATAATCTGCAACCCGCGGTTCAAATCCGGCCCGATAGCGGCCTTTCAATGGGAGGACAACCAACATGCCGAGTATTTTTAGTGGTACTTGCACGTCCTAAATTTTCACAAAGAATACACTCTTTTTTTATAAGAACCAGTAAATTTAAGTTCAGGCTGACTGTATTTAATGCCAAGTATTTTTAGTGGTACTTGCACGTCCTAAATTTTCACAAAGAATACACTCTTTTTTTATAAGAACCAGTAAATTTAAGTTCAGGCTGACTGTTCTTAATTTTTTCGAAAATCTGAGGCTGGATTGTTCTTAATTTTTTCTTAAATTAAGAGGGTGTACGCAGTGCTATTGCTAGCTTTTTCGCTCTAAGGAGGTGTTCAGGCCTCATTTGCCAGCAATGTGAGTGGGACAGCCTTAATTTGCTGACAAATTTGAATATCCACCGAAAAAGCACCCACACATCGCTAAAAATCCTCGATTTTGAGAAAGAACGTTGTTCAAAATTGCATTTTGCAGAAGCTCAGCCTCAGATTGTTCTTAATTTGTTTTTAACTTTTGACCCGTTTTGAGGCTCGTGTTCTAATAAAATTGTTCTTATAAAAAAGAGAGAGTGTATCAACTGAAATCTCAAAAAAATAAATTTCAAATCATGTTTGTTTTTACAAATAGATATATTATAAATACTGTATTATTACCGTATTTTCATGAACAGAAGCTGACACTTCTTTTCAAGGGCGGCCTCTTATCCTAAGGGTGGCTTTGGTTGCTTCTATTTTTTCTGAGAGCATTTCATTGACAAACTTCGAATATTCAAATATTGCTCACACTTAGTCGGACATTTGAGTTGGAATTACAGGCCTGAATATGCCAGGGATTCCCTCAAAATTGCCCAAATTAATGAGAGCATAAAAGACTAATTCCTGCAGCTCTATATAGGGGTGGATTATATTTAAAGGCGACTGTAATCAAGCAGATTGTCTGTCCCTGAGCTATCGTGCGTGTAAAACGAAAAATTTCCTCGACTTGGGTGGGAAATCTCTAAGTTTTTATTCAGTGCGTTAAGCATACGCTAAATACTAGACTGCTTTCGGATTTGAATGACTTACAGCTTATTTTCCATAGCGTCTCGCGTTCCCGACACTTTTCGTTTATTATATCGGATTATTTCAGCTGAAACTAAATCACGAAATCAGATTCCTAGATTATTTAATCCACTTCAACAACGTTATGTCAGTTTAAGTCTTGAAAAACAACAGAACCAATCAGCGAGGAGACCAGCAACTAAGATGTTGAGGAGGTGGGATATTGAGGAAGGGCACGCGCTTTTCCTGTCAGAAACGTCTTTTCCCACAGAATGCTCATTTTTTCGTTAGTAACGCAGTGTCAAATCGTGAAGTCATATTTAAAATAATGCTTTGCCAAGGTTTCAAAACTCCTCAAACATTTCATTGTCAGATTTAAACAAATTCTGCCAAGCATTGAGTAGGTCGTAACCCTAGTCCCACCTCTTGCCCCAACCCCCCGCCCCCCCCCGTGCCACCTCAGTTGAAAGTGGGGTTGAAAGTCTTGGAGAGTTGCTAAGAATGTAAAAATGATAGAAAAGAACCAAATGAGCATGCATTTCTGCCAAATTTCCCTGTCTCTTTACATTGTTGCGAACCTTGCGTTTGACGTGTTAGACTGTGGACAGAAAATTCTCTAGCTTTTGATTTGATTATTTATAAGATACAAGCTGATTACATATTACTTTGCTACTGCACTCAAAATCTACGCCCTATCCACCTTCCTCCTCCTACCAACAACTCTCGACGACACGTGTTCCGTTTCCTAGGGACCTGGGGCGAGGTCTCTAACATAAGAGTAGATCTTTAGTGCCACTATTCTTGAACCGTGAGTGGCTGGCAATCATGACGTTTTACAGATAGGACCGCTTTGTGGTTGCTCACTGAGTTGTATCTCAAATGTTTACAGTTTGCGCGCACGAGCCTGAGGACTCTAAAAGCTACCTAGTTTTTAGACAAAGAAAATGAGACATCATGTAACTATTAACAACATGTACTTTACAAAACGTAAGATAAAAACCAGCGCATAATATTTCGAACAATAAACTTGGGTGAATATACTTTAGGACATATATTTGAAATTCCGGACAAAACTTTTTCGGACCAATGTAAAACAGTTTTTTGGATGTTTAACGAATCAAGAAAGAAATTCAGGAACAAAGCAATACGACGACGAGAATCCAATGTAATGAGATGAATTTTCAAAATAAATTAAATAAAACAAAAACTAATACTTTGCCAGGGTATACAGGGCTTCATCATAGTGAAAAAAACGAACGAGTAAATGGATTTGAATTGTAAGATGGTGATGACAGATTGTCGTTGTTTTGATCTGAAATCAATAATGAAACATGAGATGATAATCTAGCCAGTTTTTTATGTTTTTTCTTGAGTATAGCCAAACCTTGAAACAACAAACTGAGAAACCCCGACCTATTCCACTCCACACCCTTCAATATGTATATTCCTTTCGTGTTATCTAAAAACTCTTAAGCAAAAATTGTCGTTGTGCTGATCTAAAATCCATAAGGAAACATGAGATGATAATCTAGCCAGTTTTTTATGTCTTTTCTTGAGTATAGCCAAACCTTGAAACAACAAACTGAGAAACCCCGACCTATTCCACTCCACACCCTTCAATATGTATATTCCTTTCGTGTTATCTAAAAACTCTTAAGCAAAAATTGTCGTTGTGCTGATCTAAAATCCATAAGGAAACATGAGATGATAATCTATCCAGTTTTTTATGTTTTTTCTTGAGTATAGCCAAACCTTGAAACAACAGACTGAAAAACTCTGACCTATTCCACTCCACACCCTTCAATATGTATATTCCCTTCGTGTTATCTTAAAACTCTTAAGCAAAAATTGTCGTTGTGCTGATCTAAAATCCAAAATAAAACATGAGATGATAATCTATCCAGTTTTTTATGTTTTTTCTTGAGTATAGCCAAACCTTGAAACAACAGACTGAGAAACTCCGACCTATTCCACTCCACACCCTTCAATATGTATATTCCCTTCGTGTTATCTTAAAACTCTTAAGCAAAAATTGTCGTTGTGCTGATCTAAAACCCATAAGGAAACATGAGATGATAATCTATCCAGTTTTTTATGTTTTTTCTTGAGTATAGCCAAACCTTGAAACAACAGACTGAGAAACTCCGACCTATTCCACTCCACACCCTTCAATATGTATATTCCCTTCGTGTTATCTTAAAACTCTTAAGCAAAAATTGTCGTTGTGCTGATCTAAAATCCAAAATAAAACATGAGATGATAATCTAGCCAGTTTTTTAAGTTTTTTCTTGAATATAGCCAAACCTTGAAACAACAGACTTAAAAACTCTGACGTATTCAACTCCACACCCTTCAATATGTATATTCCTTTCGTGTTATCTAAAACCTCTTTAATAAAAATTGTCGTTGTTTTGATCTGAAATCCATAAGGAAACATGAGATGATAATCTATCCAGTTTTTTATGTTTTTTTCTTGAGTAGAGCCAAACCTTGAAACAACAAACTGAGAAACTCCGACCTATTCCACTCCACACCCTTCAATATGTATATTCCTTTCGTGTTATCTAAAACCTCTTTAATAAAAATTGTCGTTATGCTGATCTAAAATCCATAAGGAAACATGAGATGATAATCTATCCAGTTTTTTATGTTTTTTCTTGAATATAGCCAAACCTTGAAACAACAAACTGAGAAACTCCGACCTATTCCACTCCACACCCTTCAATATGTATATTCCCTTCGTGTTATCTTAAAACTCTTAAAGCAAAAATTGTCGTTGCGGTGATCTAAAATCCATAAGGAAACATGAGATGATAATCAAGCCAGTTTTTTATGTTTTTTCTTGAGCATAGCCAAACCTTGAAACAACAAACTGAGAAACTCCGATCTCTTCCACTCCACACCCCTCAATATGTATATTCCTTTCGTGTTATCTAAAACCTCTTTAATAAAATGTGTCGTTGTGCTGATCTAAAATCCATAAGGAAACATGAGATGATAATCTAGCCAGTTTTTTATGTTTTTTCTTGAGTATAGCCAAACCCTGAAACAACAGACTGAGAAACTCCGACCTATTCCACTCCACACCCTTCAATATGTATATTCCTTTCGTGTTATCTAAAACCTCTTAAGCAAAAATTGTCGTTGTGCTGATCTAAAATCCATAAGGAAACATGAGATGATAATCTAGCCAGTTTTTTATGTCTTTTCTTGAGTATAGCCAAACCTTGAAACAACAAACTGAGAAACCCCGACCTATTCCACTCCACACCCTTCAATATGTATATTCCTTTCGTGTTATCTAAAAACTCTTAAGCAAAAATTGTCGTTGTGCTGATCTAAAATCCATAAGGAAACATGAGATGATAATCTATCCAGTTTTTTATTTTTTTTTTCTTGAGTATAGCCAAACCTTGAAACAACAGACTGAAAAACTCCGACCTATTCCACTCCACACCCTTCAATATGTATATTCCCTTCGTGTTATCTTAAAACTCTTAAGCAAAAATTGTCGTTGTGCTGATCTAAAATCCAAAATAAAACATGAGATGATAATCTATCCAGTTTTTTATGTTTTTTCTTGAGTATAGCCAAACCTTGAAACAACAGACTGAGAAACTCCGACCTATTCCACTCCACACCCTTCAATATGTATATTCCCTTCGTGTTATCTTAAAACTCTTAAGCAAAAATTGTCGTTGTGCTGATCTAAAATCCAAAATAAAACATGAGATGATAATCTATCCAGTTTTTTATGTTTTTTCTTGAGTATAGGCAAACCTTGAAATAACAGACTGAGAAACTCTGACGTATTCCACTCCACACACTTCAATATGTATATTCCTTTCGTGTTATCTAAAACCTCTTTAATAAAAATTGTCGTTGTGCTCATATAAAATCCATAAGGAAACATGAGATGATAATCTAGCCAGTTTTTTATGTTTTTTCTTGAATATAGCCAAACCTTGAAACAACAAACTGAGAAACTCCGACCTATTCCACTCCACACCCTTCAATATGTATATTCCTTTCGTGTTATCTAAAACCTCTTTAATAAAAATTGTCGTTGTGCTCATATAAAATCCATAAGGAAACATGAGATGATAATCTAGCCAGTTTTTTATGTTTTTTCTTGAATATAGCCAAACCTTGAAACAACAAACTGAGAAACTCCGACCTATTCCACTCCACACCCTTCAATATGTATATTCCTTTCGTGTTATCTAAAGCCTCTTTAATAAAAATTATCGTTGTGCTGATCTAAAATCCATAAGGAAACATGAGATGATAATCTATCCAGTTTTTTATGTTTTTTCTTGAGTATAGCCAAACCTTGAAATAACAGACTGAGAAACTCTGACGTATTCCACTCCACACCCTTCAATATGTATATTCCTTTCGTGTTATCTTAAACCTCTTTAATAAAAATTGTCGTTGTGCTGATCTAAAATCCATAAGGAAACATGAGATGATAATCTAGCCAGTTTTTTATGTCTTTTCTTGAGTATAGCCAAACCTTGAAATAACAGACTGAGAAACTCTGACGTATTCACAGTCTTTGTTCGCCAGAAACAAATTTTGTCGCCACAAACAGGCACTTCTTGTCAGTAGTTGCCTTGATAAAAAGCATGGCACAACCTAAGATTAACTCACGATTGATGGTAGGGCAAGTTCTCCAAGTATCTGATATTTTTTGCTAATTAAAAATAAATCACCCCATTTTTAAGAATTTCCTGAATTTATATAGCAAATTATTATTTTTTGCAATTCCATAAAAGAAAAATAACAAAAATCTTGGAAAAATCAAGAAGCTAAGAAGGCGATGTCAAAAATAATTTTTTATATGATGAGCCTCCATGACCTCTAACGGAAAAAAATCTATGACAGCAATCCCTTGTAAATTGTCAATAAAACCAAAGGCTTATTGAATAACGTCGGCTTCTCTCTCATCTAGACTTTTCTTTGCTCCCATCTTATTGGACTCAAGTTTGACTCTTAATTAAGATTCGAAGTGATTAAGCTCTCAGAGAAACGACCACTAGACCATAGTGAACAAATCTGTCTAGATACACTTATAAACGGTAAACAAGGGCGTAGCATGGCTAAGTTTGTTGAGGGGGGGGGGGGAGCAGATAAGAAAAGTTGGAGGAAAAAAGGAACCCACTCATATATGTTGCCTACGTTTTTCCTTTGGAAATTTTTTGGGAGGGTGGTCCCCTAGCCCCCAGGCTCTACAGGCTTGGTAGATCATATTTTTCATTTCTGAGCATTAAAAATTTTTGTCTCCTTCAACTGTAAAATAAGTTTACTTTTACATCACAAACCATGGTCTCCTTTCTAATCAGTCATGATCTCTTTTCCTAAACTTGTAAACTTAGACGGTAAAATGAGCTTTGTGTGCAAATCTCAGTGACCTATGGAACAAACTTGTTAACGGGGGGAGGTGGTGATAAGTGATCAATATGAAAAATATAAGGGACAACATGATCGATGCTTGGTTTTGTGTATATTTCTGAATTTAATGACAGCTACAATTAGGACCCTGGGGGCTTTTTAGGGGCCTGGGGCCAAAAGAAAATGCAGTCCACGATGACATCATTTAGACTTTTGTTGTGGCTTTTTATCGTTAGTAACCTCGCTTTAGCTTTTTCGGGCCCCTCTCAGCTCGGAGAATTGGGGCAATCTGCCCTTCTCTCTGCGTGCCTAGCTTAAACCCACTCAGTCACCCCACTTTGTCGCCATATGATAACTAACTTTCTTTCTTGGTAAATTATCTCATTTTAGCTGGCAGCTGCTGGAGTATTTCCAAGAAAGGCCAGTGTGGCCAGCTTCTCAAGCGAGGCGTCTCCTTCGACCAGTGCTGCAAAAGCAACGAACAGTTTCTCAGCAAAAATCGACTTGCTTATTCAGACCGAGATGCAAAGTCCTCAAGACAGCTTTTCTTCCTCGTCTTCGTGAACCGCCCACGTGTTTGCAAGCCATGCTCGGGTAAGTTCAAAGCTGGAGCAAATTTTACACGATAAACATCTTGATGAGATAGTTTACGAGTTCGTGATGTTACGTTGATGATAAAGTAGGTCTTTTTTTCTGAAATAGTAGAATCATCTTCACTCTCGCAAAATAGGTAGTACGATTCGGACCTTGTTCCTTTTAAAAAAGTTTGTCCTATGAAAGAGGTTTTCATTAAAACACGCTCCTTTGAGAACGGTTTTTACATCGCCTATGACGTCATTAATAATGACCTTGATTCTCGTTTCAGACCCCTGTGCTGGTGTCCGCTGTGGAGTGAATAGTAGAGCAGTGTGTACTTTAACCAAAACGAGAAAAGCTAGGTGTGTTTGCAATCCGGACTGCAGTAATACACACCCGGGCAAGGTCTGCAGCACCGACCAAAGGACTTATGCGTCCGAATGTGACCTTCTGAGTGAGAGTTGCCGTACCAGGAAACAAATTGAGGTTGATTATCAATCAGAATGCAAAGGTTAGTGATTTCAAAACATTATTTGACGTCTTACACAGCATTCTAGGGCTGGGAGTGTGCCAACCGGCGAGGGGCTGGGAAGGTGTCAACCATAAGCTGGCTGTAACTAGGTATTGTATGCTCGAGCCTTAAGCTCTTGTAATCTTTTTAGATGTATATGTATACATAGCGAAGGAAGGCGGAGAGGAGGAGGAGAGCGGATATCAGCCCCCGTACTACTGTTACCATATTGTGTTTACACGGGTATGGATAGGCCTTGTGTTTACACGGGAACTGGTGGATCCGTATACTTTTGGATCCCGTATAGATCCATTCGGGACCGGATCCTTTGTAAACGGTTGGATCTGGTCTAGATCGGAGACAGAATAATTTCAATTTGAAGTAATTTTAAAATATATTCCATGAATTTGGCATCAGAAAACCAAATACAAAGGTGACCTACTACAGTCTTGATAAGATGAATCTAGAAGTCTTAAAAATATGTTTATAAAATGTTATTTGTTTTCATTTTCGCTGTGAGTTTGAGAACAGCTCTTTCTGGTTGAACTTCCCTTATGTCCAGTTTGAACGGTTTGTTTCAATCTCTTTTTTGTCAGGCTCCTTGTTATTATTGGACTCACATGTGCTTCACTTTTTCCTGCCAATTTCTGTATTCCGCTGGGAGAAGGTCTCATTTCGTTGTCAAGACAGCTTTTGCTTCCATCAATCGTTTTGACTTCAAATCTAGGCCCTTCCAACAGACCTTCAATAATTTTCTGTTTGTCAAACAGCTGCTGCTCCAAAGAGATAATGCGGTCTTGAAGACATTTTAGCAACGCTTCCCTATCACTTTCAGAAGGGTCTATACTTGGTCTATTAGCAGTTTGGGCCTTTAATAGTAGAATTTCTCCATGTGAGAATCTTTTGAATTCCTCGAGTTCTGCTTGGATCCTCTTAAAGTCGCCGACGTTTACATAACCCTTCGACTTTGGCCATTCAGAATCTCTTTCGGAGGTTGGGTTAAAATCTTCATTCTCAGTGTCTATATTTTCCTGGTCTTTGATACGATAGGAAACTTTGTTGTGGGACATGGTAGTGTATAATTTCCCCTCGTTTACCGCCTGATCCAAGATGGCGACTGTCTTTGTTTTGTCCCAACCATGTTTCGACAAGCAGAAGCTAGCAATTGAATCCATATGTCTTCCTTTGCTTGTACTCCTTAGAATTTCTGTAGCTTCCATAACAGTTTCAATGTCTGTTGCCATTTGAAATATGAGTGAATTTGCAATGAAAAGAGTATTTCTTAGAGCGCATAAAAGCCACGTCCTACCAGCTTCGTCCTCCGAACCGAAAAAAGGTTGTTACTAAGCTTTTTTCCATTTCAGAATCCTGCAGCGGAGTCATTTGTCCCAAGAACAAGCTTTGTGTGGAAGATCAGTACAGAATTCCCCATTGCATTAGTAACGCCATTTGCAAGTCTAGCTGCGATATAAAGCCGGACGATGAGATGCTCTGCGGAACTAACGGAGTCACCTACTCAAGCCTGTGTGCCCTGAGACAAGTTGTGTGTCAACATGGAGTGAAGGAACGAGTTGGAATCGCCTATAAAGGAGCATGCATAAGTATGTCTTCATGTTGCGGTTTTAATGGGGGTCCAGGGGGCAATGGCCCCAAGCCCCGCGCTTATGGTAGCCAAATGGGGACAACCCCTAAGAAAAAATATAAATTGTAAAGAACAAGATCCCGCAGATGTTTTTGGCCCCAGGCCCCGCAGTCCCTAAAACCGCTGCTGATGTCTTCAGATGACTCAATTAGAGACGGCGCCAGCCACTAGGCTCTAGGGCTGACGCTGACAAAAGAAAATGTTAGGCCACACCCATTTACCACCAGAAAACTCCCTTTTACCAACAAGGAACGTCAATGTTACCTGAACGGAACGCCCATGACTAAATTTTGGTTGCGTAATGGCAGTTTCAAAATCATATGATTACACCACAAAAAGTACTGTGCCAAAATATCACCCTTCCCCCAACATTTTCTCCTCGACTTTAGATGAAATGGAGAACTACCCCTGTTGAGAACTGACGTGTCCCCCCAAGATCCCCTCCTCATGATGCCGTTATTGGCTTAAATTTGTGTATTTGTGTACGAAGAATTGAGTACACTATGTTTCAAATAATAGATATATTTAAGCAGAAAGCACTTAGCGGTGCCAAGAGACATTTGAAACTGTTAAACCGTTCCCCACTTTTATTGTATTGATCAACGTGGTTAATGTGACTGGCAAAACACCAAGACTGATGAAAAATCTTGATGATGTTTAAGATAGGGCCTAATACATAGTCACTAAAAAAACCTCGATTCTTTTAAAAATTGGCTTTTCTACATCTACATACTATCAGTTGTTTCTAAGACCACTAAAAACAGAGACTACACAGCTTGTTAGCTGAAAATTCTGCACTGTTATGTCAACGTAAGAAAAAATGTTCAAAAATACATTTTTTTTTCTTTTAATGTTTCATTTGAGACTTTTTATGTTCTTACGCTGTTTCTTTTTCTGCAAATCGAGCCTTAGTGTTCTTATAACGCGTTTTCTTTTAAATTAGGTGTAGCAAAGAAACTCGCCTTGTGGTGTGACATATGGAGATAATTAACATAAGGACCAGAATTAATCATAAACTTTTGTAAACAAACTTTTCAACATTGAAACTGCTGGCAAATATTCTTAATAAGATTTCTCATCTAGGCCATGCTACGTGCGAGAAGATTAAATGCAGTGGCAAAAACAAATGTCTTACGGACGGTAGCAATGTCCGTTGCGTCAAATGCGAGTCATTCTGTATCGGTGGCTTCCACATTCAGAAACCTGTTTGCGGCAGTGACAACAAAACGTACAAGAACTGGTGCTCACTCAGACGGGCGGCCTGTTCAAGTGGCAAGCACATCGAAGTTAGAAAGAACGGCAAGTGTTAAGGTAAGTTTTTTGCCTTAAATAGAATTATGCTAAGCCATTTTATGGCTTTGCTGCTTCTATATTTCTGCAGTAAGATACTAAATGTTTTTTGTTCTTTGGGAATTTCAGTCGTTTAGAACAAAGTAATTTCCTGCGAATGTTTGAAATTGCCTTCTTCATGAGCGTAGCCACTTTTGTTTTTGGAAAGGGGGGTTGGGGGCTCGTCACCCCAAAAATTATTATAAAAATCTTTTGTTTCCAGTGAACAATCCCTTTTGTTACTATTGTTCTAAAGCAACTGTGCCCTGAACAATTCTGAACTTCAGATTCAAGCACTTCCACTTGAAAAGTTAATTTCGGAATATTTCGCCTTTTGCTTATTTTGAGTGCCGCAATGGCCGTCAATATAGTTTAATTGCATTTTCATAAAAAGGCAAAGTGTTTCAATTGCTGAAAGTCCTATTATGAAAGCTAGCCTCATAAAAAGAAATAATAACAAAATAATTCGTTCCAGTTTTACTGGAGTCTTTTAGATAGCAGTTTATTAACAAGCTTACAATTCAATTCTTCTTTGCTTTGCAGGTCATGGCCGCTAAGATTGTAGAACGTTTGTCAGTCAGTGGTATGTTACGTCATTTCATTGCTGATTAACTGTATATAACCTGTTATTTATTTCAAGGTAAAATTATTTCTAGGTATAAACAGACATTCAAGTATGGTGAAATTTGGATAGAATTCCTCTGATGTAGCATATTCCATATTATAAGCAAAAAGGTATTAGTATATATTCGTTGTAAAAAGTTTTAATTTATGCTTAAAAATTATCATAAATTATCATAGCTACAAGTATAGAAAAAATATGGTCGCAATTTTTCAGCCTCGAACCTATACCTTCATTTTTGGTTTCAATAAACAGGCTCCACATTTAGTGGAAATTTCAAATGCCTTTTGTTTTCATGTCTGCTGTTAAACTTCAAAAAAGAGTTTAATGAAAATCCATATCTTTGTCTGATCAATCAGTTTCTTTAATGAAATTGCTGAATTTACTAGTCGTGCATTTTCGTAAAAAAACAAGGCTATATGTTAAACAAAAAAGAATTTTTTTGACTGAGATTTTTTTTAGTCCAAAATTGGATTTAATTAACACTATAGCAATTTTAGAAAGGTATGAATCTTAACTCAATATGATTTTGAACGATTCTCATAGAAAAATTGCAGTGTTTGTTGTTGGTTGCAAAATTTCCTAGAAATGAAAACCTATATAGGCTTGCCAAAATAGAAATTTTTGACTGATATTTTCTTAGTCCAAAGTTGAGTTTAAATCCCGCCATAATAACCCTAATTGATTTTCTCTGTCTGATTTTAAACGGTTTTTGTAGAGTTATCATAGAATTTATTAGTCGTCCATTTTCGCAAAAAAAACATAAAGCTATAGCCCTACTGAAATGGTCATTTTTAAACAAAAATTTTTTTTGTAGTCCAAAAATTGATTTATTTCACACTACAGCAATTTTAGAAAGGTATAAATCATACCTCATTTTCGTAGAGAAACTGCAGTATCTATGGGTTGCTAATATTCGTAAAAAAGCAAGCCTATAGGCTTATCAAAACATTTTTTGACTGATAATTTTTAGTCCGACACTCGATTTCATCCCTACTATAGAAACGCTAGAAAGATATTGATCGTATCTCCATCTTATTTTAAACGGTTATTTTAAGAATTAGCAGTATCTATGGGTTGTATATATTCCTAATAAAGCGAGCCTATAGGCTCAACAGAATTGAAACTTTTGGAATAAGACCCTTTGGTTTGAGATTTGCAAGAATGGGCACAAGCTCACTTAAATGGTATATTTTGGACGTTATTTTTATTCAGAAACAGTCCAATTATTTGAAGAGAATATTTTGTTCGGCTTTAGTTTTTGAAGTAAGATTTCCTCTCTTTGGCCTTTCGTTTCGTTAGAGAAAAAAGGCCACACTGCACAACATGACATTATGGACCAAAGTAATCTGTACCATGTGAACCAGCTTATTTTTTACCAGACATACTGCAGAAAATCGTCTTCAAAGAATTGTATAAAGATCGATTAATCTTTGTGAAGTAAGTGATTGATGAAGAAAAAAAGGACTTTCTTTTTTCATGCATTAAATGAAAATCAAAGTTAAAACTGCAAGTATCGACTGGAAAAGCAAACATTTTGAAATTTGCGTATGAAATGAAAATAAAAAACCAGTCAAATATGTACGAAATGATTAACAAAACATAAGCGTAATTTTACAATGCTAGGCAAATCTACACAAATAGTTCTTTCGAATATTCAAATATAAAATATTTCAAAAAATTTATGGTAATATGTTTGTTTATGTGTCAAAATTTTAAAACTCCATAAAAAATTTTGTCATACGTAAAAATTCTTAGCCCACAAATTCTGAGGCATACTTAAAAAGGGGGCATATCTGAAATCTTTCATCTAAAGTAAGATACAACAAGACAAAACTAAGTAAATATATGAATTTCGGTAATTTGGGCTCTGAAAGACAGGGAAAGAATATTATGTAGCAAATATGAAACACCGCAATACGCCGAGAATAAACAACAATAAAAACACGTAAATCAGGAAAGGTTCGCCGCAAGAACTCCTTGGAGTCAGTCGAGCAGCCTGCTACAGTGGCGTTTTCTTCATTTACACAAAAGATTATTATGTTCAGCCTATCAATTGCGGATGGACCCACCGTATATAAAAATTTCAGTACGATCTCCCCCGCTTTGTGGGATTCTTATCCGTTCACTGTCCAAAGAAGTCGATTTTTGGAAGCGGGGCGGTTTTAGGCCTACCATCTGACAAATCAGCTTTCTTGGTCGTAATTAATAACAAGTTAATAACATGGCGGAAAAATCTGCAGTATTACTATAGAAGTTAATAAATATAACAAATTTTTGGACTTACATGGACTTGCATCTATTCATAAGATCAGATTTACATGGATGTATTTGACAATCGCTAAATGTGACGATTCACTCTAAATCTTGGTGTCTAATTCTGGGCCTTCGTCATTCGAACTGTGTGATTGGTTACTTTTGATCAGGCAAAAATACTGCAATTACCAACGTGATAAGAGCAGCGAACCCAGTCAGAACAAAGGAGAAGTGATGGTTGAATGGATACCCCAATGTTCCCTCATTCGTTAGCGACCAAGAGTAGAGGGAGCCGAGTAAGGCGGGTGCAATTGAGCTATAAGAAAAATGAAATAATAGGAAAGGATTTTCAACAAAACAGTCCTCATTTACAGTTTGACTTTTAAGTATGGCGACCATAGTTATTTCACTTGACGATTTAGTGAAAAGGGAAATGTTCAATAACATTTGCAACCGTTAATATTTTCGCACTTGCATTCAGAAGATTTCCTAATTATCTTTAGTATTTGAAGATTGAGCAATGGTCAATTACTGGAAGAGGAAGACACGTAGAACATCCCCAAGACAAAACAAAAAGTGCGAGTAACCAGGGGCAGACACTTGTAACCAGGGTCAAAGATTGGGGGGGGGAGGGAAGGCTATTGTTGTAGTGAGGTGGCATCATATTGTCTTAGAACAAAAAACCATTCCTCTCCAATGTAGTGGGGGACGACCATCCCCCCTCGCCCCCAGGTGTTCGAAATGCTTGCTCAAAACAGTTCGTTGTTTTACAAATCCATAGGGAAATTCACTCAAAAGGAAGGCAAGGATTAGGGCTCCAAATAACAAATTACGGTCTAAGGCCACCGCTCAATTGCTTGGGTGTGATGCAGAAAAGTGAGAAAGATAAGGGCATAGCCAAGACTCTTTACTAGCAAAATGAAGACATATTTACCGGAAGACACATGACGCTATCATTCCCAGTCCATTGACAAGGCCCATGTACTTTGGGTCAGCAGCAGAATTGAGTGTTACATTGATTACAATAGAGCAGCAGGCGAATGTTAACCTCACGATGAACAAAAATGGAATAAGCGCGAACCATACATATCTGCGAAGAATAAAAGACGATATCAGACAAACATAGCTTTCTGCACCAAATCAAGTAAACGAAAAGCATTAAAGACACATGGCGGATATGAAAGTAGCTCAAGTCAGGGCCTAGGCAGGCTAAAAATAGACAGCCAATCAGGATCGGTCCAGGGGGCAATCCATTCTTGCAAATAGCGAACGAGATTTTCCACGAAAACAAAAAGGTTTTCCAGGGATTTTTAGATCGATAGCATTACATCAAAGCGTGCGAGATTTTCAAAGACTGATTTGCTACTCTGATCGATCTGAAGAACCTGTATGTAAACTCCATCGACAGATACCAAAGTGGCTTAAGCCATCTATCAAGCAATATTGGCAAATCAGTAAGCATGTGATTTGTACCACGCTCACTGATTGGCCAATAATTGACTGACAGATGGCAACCGACGAATCAGATTTATCAGAGCAAATATTCAACACACGCGTAGCTCGAATGTCAAATAATTCGCTGTTGTTAGGGTTGTGGGCTAGAGAACCAAGGTTATTGGAGGTGGGGGTGTGGAGGGGGTTGTGGAGGTGGTGTGTGGAGGACGTTGTGAAGGGGGTGTGGAGGAGGGCAATTTAACATGACCTTTGTGGCGAGTGATACAGTGCGTTCCTGTGAGGGGACCTGTGGGATTGATGCCAATTTCTAGTTGAAAGATAAGCGTTTTTCGTTGTACTAAAAGATGGATAGTGAAAAATAGACAAACCTGGACGGTAAATAGCCAATGAATGCAAAAAGTGGCATAATGAGCACGAGCAGATACAACCCAGCAATCAAAAACTGCAAGAAATAAAACAGAACTTAAAAACGGAAAACACTGATAAGGCACGGAAGTTTAGTTTTTCACATTGTAAAAAGATTTTAAAAAATTTCAATGTTCTCTTTGCTTTATGCATTTTTTTTCTCATTGTTTGATCATGGGGAAATTTTCTAATTTCGATCAACCTGAAAGTGATTTAAGCAAAAACAGACTTCAAGTACAGAACAGCGAACAAATGAACTGAATTGAGCGAAATCTGTGTTTAAGGAAGGTAAACCAATAATCGGCAACTTATGTCTTTTATATATCTCCAAAGTAGCATAAGTTTTGTTTTATTTTCTATCTTCTATTTCCGCGCGCGAATTTATGTGGTTTTGGTACCGAGGGTAGCATTGGACTTACTCCATGAGCCTCTGTTTCGCTACTGCCTCACTTTACGGACGCTTCAACAGAGACTCCTGGAGAAAGTCTGTTTTGGCGTCCATAAGAGAGGCAGCAGCGAAACAGAGGCTTATGGATTAAGTCTAGGGTAGCATAATTTCCGCAGTTCGAAAATGACGGTAGCGAAACATCGCTCCGCTGTTCCCGTCACCTGTCAATCAAAGTAACGATAGCTCGTCTCCCTTTCCAGGCTTGCTGATGCTTAAATTGTTTAGATGGCTAGGATATAGATAAACAGGGATGAAAGATTAAACATAACGTCAGGCTAACATTAACAGCGACTAAAAACCATAACTTGACCTGTTTTGCGGGAAGAGAAATTTTGGAGAAAAATAAAAACATTCATTGTGGTTAGACGGCACATAGGCCCTAGACGCACTGATTTCTGACATAAAACTCATTTTCTTTGTCAAAGTGGAAAATCGAGAATACTTTTTCAAGTTTTCCCTCCTCTACCACTGCGCTGCATTCACACCATTCCACATCAGCCAATCCGACACCACCACCGCCTTATTTAGATATGTAAAAAATTTTTAGCCCGTTAACTTTTGCTCTGATGAAGCCCCGTATGCCGAGGCGAAATATAAGCCTTAACTGATTTACGTGTTTTTATTGTTGTTTATTCTCGGCGTATTGCGGTGTTTCATATTTGCTACATTTTAATCCCTTTTCTCTATGAACAATAGAGATTAAGTGTGTCAGAAGTTCTTCCTGAAAGCTTGTTAGGTTCGTCTAGGGCCATATTTCATTCAACGTAAGAAAGACATAGATAAACAACATTAAACTAGTTTACGTATGGTGAAACAGGATTTAATCTTCACCCTCCATTTTTACTCAAGCCTGAGTGGATAGAATTGCAAATTAAAATTTTCTCACCATTTTGTTGTCAAATCCGCGTTGGAGCTAAAAAAATCGAAAAAAATTGCATTATTCTTAGTAAAACTTTTCACGTTAGGAAAAATAAGGGTTTTCTAAAACTTCTTTCTAAAATTAAAGATTGCAATGTGTTTTTAATGAAGAAGCTAAGCAGAACGTCGCTGAAAATTTTTCAAGGAGATTGACTCTCAACGATCCTTTCTGAAAACTAAACGATAAACGACAGCTTAACTTGAAAGGATAATAACACAAGGTAAGCAGGGGCGTCGCAACCGGGGTGTGTGGGGATGTCACACCCCCTAATAGTATCTCAAAAGGAAATTTCAGGTAAAATCCGCTCGGTGGAAGAAACGCTTTAGGTATTTCAGAGACCTTCATGTCATAAATTAAGGATCAAGCAAAGGTAGTTGCTCCGTTGGTTAAATAATGATGTTCCTTGATATGAATGAAGGTAAACAAACCAATGATTAGAAGATTTGAAGATTTTTTGTTGGCCCTGAATCTAAAAATCCATTTCTCCTAAAGTTTCTCGGTAGAAGCGTCAACTGCAATTCACTATTAGCTCCAGATTTTTTTTAACATTCAAAAGGCATGCTAAAATGGAAAGAGGGATCTAAATTGACAACAAGTGCTGCTTGTTACCTAGCTTTAGAATTAACTGACAACATGGTACTTTTCAAGACCACGGCGAAATTGTACCAGTTGTTTTTATCAGCTGTTCAATTTGTTTGCATAAAAATAATTTTCCAAAGGATGAGGAGGATTGTTTTAGTGAAATGTGCTTGAAAGAGTGCATTTTCCAGGGAACTAGAAGCATCAAAATTCGAACATTTCCTTTGCTCGTTCCGATAAAGAGATTTGACAAAACTATTAGAAAAGTCCGTTATTATCATATAAAAGTGAGAAGTTGTGATTTATATACAGAATTATATTGACAAAATGTATTGCAGAGGTTTGTGACAGCAATTAAAGAATTTCAGGCAAAAATTTGTCAATCAGGTAAATCTGTAGTCCACTTCCCCCCTCCCCGACAAGGCTTGCCGGCAACCACCTTCGACCCTCTTTCCAAAGTTCTTCTTCAATGAAATAGAGAAAGGGCTGGACTTTTACGGCAACAAATATGAAACGCTTATACTGATAGGAGACTTGAATTGTGAACCCGTTGACAGTGTGATTCGGGACTTCATGGATAGCTATGGTCTAAAAAACATTGTACATGACTCGACCTGTTTTAAGTCGGATGACCCTAGGTGCATTGATCTCATACTAACAAATGGTAAAGGAAATTTTAAAAATACAACAACAGCTGAAACGGGGCTATCTGACTTTCATAGCATGATCTTTACAGCGTTAAAAGGAGGCTTCGTTAAGAGGGGTCCTAGAATCAAAGCATACCGTGATTATAATTCTTATAACCCTGACAAGCTAAATTACGATATAGTACATAATGTTTTACCCAGAATACCAGACAGGGTGGATTATGATAGCCTTGAAGATACCATCACTGAAGATACCAGACATACTTAAGCAACACATACCAATAAAGAAAAATTATATACGTGCCAACGATTGGGCCTTCATGAACAAAGAATTACGAAAAGCAATTATGCACCGTTCTAAGTTAAGAAATATATGTAAAAAGACCAAAACTGAGAAAAACCTCATTGCATACAAAAAGCAAAGAAACAAATGTGTGAAGCTACTCAGAAAAAGAAAACGTGATTATTTTAGAAACCTAGATCCAAAGGACATTACCGATAACCGTAAATTCTGGAAGTCTGTCAAACCAATCTTTTCAGATAAGGTTCAAATTTACCAATCAATTACTTTTATCAAAAACGGGAAACGTGTAAATGATGGCCTTACTTTTGCAGAAATTTTTAACCCTTACTTCGCAAATATAACCCAAGAACTAGGAATAACCGAAAACGAAGCTCATTTATCGTCAACAATTGGAATATGTGACCCTATTGATATAGCTATTAAGAAATATCAAAAACACCCAGGTATTAATAAGATAAGGGAATTGGGTTCCGTCTGAGCCGTTTACCTTTAGTAACATCACTGTTCTGGAAGATTTGCATCAGCTCGAAATACTAAATACAAAAAAGGCATCCCCTATAGGAAGCATCCCTGCATTGAAAGACAATCCAATGATGTTTGCAGCTAGTCTACAAAACTGCTTCAACATGCAAGTTCTCATCGAAGCATGTTTCATCAATTCAGGCAAGGAAAGGCTGGAGTAATTATTAATGGTGAATTTTTTGATGAAGGTGCTCCACTTCCGAAGTTGCTATTCAAACAGACAGTTAATCGAGATTTGCAAAAAGCAAAGCAATTGTCAATTCAAGGCCCCTTTCTCTGCATGACTGATGTTCAGTTGAAATCCTCCCATTCAAATTTTTACAACTGGAAAGTAAGTGATTTACTGGTGAAGTTGGCAATAAAAGCACGGTTGAGTCTACTTCCAACAAACTTCACAAAGCATGTATGGAATCATGATAATGACCCTTCATGCCCCTTTTGCCATCAGCACACGGAAAATGTCGCACATCTGATGAATGAATGTAGAGAGTTTCACAACTTTTATAGTCGACGTCACAATCGAATTGCTGACAAAATATTTGAGGTGATCTCAGGAAGTATAAGTGGTTTCCAGTTTCATGCAGACAAACTTGCAGAATCATTAATAACAGAATATGGTGATGAATTACAGCGTATTACGCATCGTAAACCTGACATCATTATCATTGACAATCAGTCACGTAAATGTATCATCTTAGAGGTGACTGTCTGCTACGATCTGTCTTTTGAGAAAGCGCTGGACACCAAAGAGAAACGGTATCAGCCGCTATGCAGTCTGCTGCAGTCGTTAGGTTGGGAGGTGGATGTGCAAGTGCTTTTCTTTGGCTCACTTGGTTGGATCAAAAAGGATGTTTGGACTGTTATGAGATCATTGTCAGTAGATAAGTTGATTGTAAAGAGCACATTACAGTGGTGCTCGGTATCAAATTTGATAATGGCCAACTATATATGGAGACACTGGGTTAAGAAGTTATTCATGTGAATCTATTTTCTCTCGGCCCTTGCGTATGATCAGATACAATAAGTTCTATATTACATTTTCACATTGGATGACTTCTAAATTTTGTGTCCCACAGTTTATATGAAGTGATTATGAATGTAGTGGATAACACAAGCCTAGTAGACCTTTCATGTTAACTGAGCTTTCAGCTCGGACACTAGGGCAAATACGAATTATTATTATTATTATTATTATTATTTTATTATTTCTATGCCTGAAGGTAAGCATGAATTCATACCCAGTCTTGGAAAGAAAATAACGTGAGAAGAAGAATGGTTTTTGATTAGTTTCTTGCTTTCGACCAATCGGCGACCGGTAACCTCCCATCTATCTTGAGCGTCCAAGACAGAAAATGAACTCTTTCTGTCTACACAAAGCAGGACCCTTTTTTGATCTAGACAGATTCTAAAATGTCTTAAGGAATAGACAACTTTGCTTGCCCAGTGATTCCAAACGTTTTGGCATACTGGATTCTTGAGTAAATGTTGATCTTAGTGGCCGATGCTTGGGCATTCTGATATCTGCAAACATGTCCAACAGTAATACATATCGATGCGCAATAATTTCGTGCACTATTCCTGGTTACCCAACCAAACATAAAGTAAAGACGATACAGTTTAAGAATTCTGACATACCCTTGCAATGAAGAAAACCAACACGACCAAAGGCGCGGCTGCGATGAGAGTGGCTGTCCCTATCTGATTTGACGCGAACCCTAGGCCACCTTGAAAGGAAGATAACTGTCAAAATTTTACAAAAACGAGTGCGTTCACTTTTCAAAGGCCTTTGGGAGTCTTGAATCTTTATTTCGAAAGATAATATTTGGTGTTTGAGTTTGGCAGACAATCAATTTTTTCTAGATTTTGAATAAAAACTACAAAGCTCATTTTCCTGGTCTATTCATCTAATATAATTCTCTGACATTATTGATTTCAATCTGTGGTTACTCTTCAAAAATAATCCAGAATAATTACATTATGGGAATCAGGTCTATGATTTGCAATTGGGATTCTGTATCATATATTTCACTTCATTTCAAATGTTTAAGTGGAGCAGCCCTTCTGCAATGCTGATTTTCAAGAGACTCTCTACTTAAAAAAACTCACAGAAACTGTAATAGTGTTAAAAATAAATCAACCTTGTTACGATTAAATATATACAATTTATAATAAACCCTAATTAAATTATTTTAAAATAAACATCAACAAGGAAAGGACAAAAAACCGATATTTACAATTGCGCAAGGTATTTTGTGATTTATATCCTGTTGATTCCCCTTATGAAGCTGACACATAAGGAAATACAAAGTGTCAAAGAGGTCTTCGATTAACACAAAAAGATATATATTTTTTGGTGTCAAGGGCCCAAAAACTTTCTGGCACCCTTCACACGAAGAGCTCGTGCCAGTATATATCTACCCACAGAAAAGCAAATAGTCTTACAAAATCGAGTTGATAAACACAGATTGTGGCATTTTACATAAATAAACAAAAATTGTGACACTTTACCGTAAATCTTAGATGAGTCTGCGTAGACAGGAAATGTTTCATCGAACCCAGTTGCAATGAAAGAGAATACAGCATAGAGCGCCAGGGATAGCTGCACGTTTCTTATCCTGGAAACAAAAAAGGCCTAGATTAGTTTATAAACGAAACATAAATATAAAATATTAGAGATAAATGATAAACAAAACGTTCACTTATGTCTGTATGAACTTAAAAGACTTTATTATGATTTTGAAAGTTTTAAAAGCTTATCTATCATTTTAAAAGTTTATGACTTTACTTTCATGTGAAACATGACATGTCTTGGTTACGACAAAAATCGTGGTATAGAAAACTGTTCAATGATTAAGACAACTACAGTATTGAAATAGAAATCTCATGAAATAACTACAAAACTACAAACAATTAACAACAAGAAAAGAATGCTGATACAGTCTTCAAATTGCTACGATTCGCAGTATTTTTTTCGATTCGAGATACAGATCCCAGGTCTACGAATTTTGTCACTTTTTGAAAGCGAACAATTATTGTTTTATTTGTGACGAAGGAAGTAACAGGAACTGAAAGAGAAAAACAAAATCTTCCAGTTTGACTAACAGAATAGCATTTAAAGAAGGCTGTCAATTTTATTCTGATTTTGACTCACAGATCCTTTCTAAAGAATTCCCGATTAGTCTGGGCTGTTAGAACATGAATCATGCAAATTGTGATACCAGCATGAAAATGGGTACACTGTGGTAATTTCACACGCTGATAACGATGCCGAACAGACACAAGCCGAAAAATGCTATTTTTAGACTGGGGTACTTGGCCCCAGTCCTCGAATTGGGCCAATTTCCATATGTCATTACTGATTTGTAAAAAAGGTGCAAAAGGAAAGATTTAGGTGCATTATCATATATTAAATATATTAAGAGAAAGGAAATAAAAAAATTGCCCCTTGATGCTATTTTTAGAATAAGATATCGGTCTATTTTTAGGCATTCTTCTCTAAATAATTACTCTCTTTTATATGAATATGAAATGTAGCTTTCTCTATTCTTTCAACAAACTGGAAAGTTATACGAAAAGATGTAATTGACAATCCTACCCCTTGATGCTATTTTTTAAAATGGGGTACTGGAACCCAGTTCTCGAATTTGGGTTTTACCTTCATAGCCTAGGCTTTAAGCACAGTATTTGACTTGAATTGTGCAAATTGTGGTACCAGCGTGAAAATGGCTGCACTGGGGCAATTTAAAACGTTGCAAATGATGCTGAATAGACACAAGCCTAAAAACGCCCCCAAGTGCTATTTTTAGACTGGGGTACTTGACCCAAGTCCTCTATTTTGGGTTTCATCCATACGTAGTTAACGAACGTTTAAAATGACCATGAAGGTAAAGCTTTAAACACAATTCTACACGATAAAAGTATAACACAGAAGCAATTAAAATATTACCCTTGATGCTATTTTTAGAGTGGACTACTGGAGCCCAGGCCTCGATAAGTTTTTATTTATAAATCAATGACGGATTTAAGGGGGGCAACTAGGGGCAGTTGCCCCTCCCTCGACGAGTTGAAGCAAGTCTGGCGCCCTTTTTTGGAAATTGTGCGCCCCTTTTGAAGAATGAGAATCAGGTGAAAAAGATTCTGAGACCGATAGATTAATTTGCTTCAAGGATTACCTCAAAGTTTTGTTATTTATTCGGAAAATAGATCTGAAATTGTTGTATACAGCGTACTCTGGTCATCAATTCTTGAGAATTTTTCAGCGCCCTCCCCCCCTACCATCTGCCCCTCCTTCAAGTTTGCTTTGGATCCGCCCCTGACTATTTTTGGTATGAATGTGAAATAAAGTGAAGATTAAATCTCTTGATTGCTACTACTTCTCTCAGAGGCCTTCTAGAGAAGCAAAGAAGAACTACCTACTGAAGGTTGGAAAACACAGAGGCTAGAAGAATCAGTACAATTCTATTACTAGTTTACTTTTAATGGAGTTAGAGTCAATGCTATTGTTGCTAGTTAAAGCAACAAGGGAGTCAAATCATCACGTGTTTCCAAGTGCCCTTAGTCAGATTGCACCTTGGATGTTTAGCCTTTATCATATAAACTACTCGCGCTGGCTGCCGATTTAGCATCAATCGTATCTAAAAGTAGCCTATAATTATAACGATTTTCGCCCCTCCGAATATGTTTCAGTTTGAAAATGCAGAAGGGTACTAAGCATTTCTGCTACTTTGGATGGTCAGCATTTTATACTAATTGTGTGAGACTTTCAGAAGTAGCGAAATGTGAAAGTCACATTTTCCTGTACATGTGATAAATTGCATTGACCTTCAGAGGCAGGAAACGCGTACATATTTAAACATATCTCTTTAATCAACTGCGTTTTTTCATAATATTTTTCGGTGATTGAAAGTTGTATGAAGCTACATTTGAGTGTTCACATCAAAATTAGCGATTTTAACAGTAAATGAAAAAGTCGAATAAGCTTGGATCTAAGTATCCCATTCTGAAAAGAGAATCTATGGGGAATTTTATCTCTCCGTGATACTTTAGTGTATCACAAAGTATAAATGGCCTATTTCGCAAAGGCGTACTTTTTCGATTTGGGCAAGACTCTACATAACGACTTTTTAGGTAAAAATAGAATATTATAAGAATATTCGTTAAGTAGAAAATTGAAAGGGAAAGATTTTCATACTTCATCAGTTGCCATAACGACGACTCCTTCAAGCCTCGGCAACATGTTGAGGCTGGACGTGTCTGCAAATATTTTCTCGATCTACGAGGCGATCCTTCTTTTGATTTACTGCCAATGTCATTCAGCAAGTTTATCTTTTCATTAGCCTTCTCTCTGAAAAAAAACCAATAAGCATTAAGCAATTTAAAAAAAAATCGAGCTCATTTGGAAAAACGAAAGCAAATCATGAATTGTTAATTGAATATAACTAAATAATGAAGAATATAAATAGAAACAAAAAATAAGTAGGAATATAATGGAAATTGATGTCCAATGCTCCGTTATGATGTCAAGCTCTCTGTAATTCCAGGCGAAGGAATCACGAGGTGTGGTCACATCGAGAGGAAGGACCAGGACACTGCTCGATAAGCATAAGCTTCTCAGTGCACCAAAACTACCTTCAAATGCTAGATAGAAACATATGCAAATAGGCAGGCAGTGGCGAACTGGGCCACCGGCCCATCGCCCCGTGGCCGGTGGGCCCCCTTTAAAATTTGGTAAAAGGGCCCCACCTTTGCAGAAAAAAGCCCCATTTTAAAAATGTGGGGCCTTACGATGTCCTATTACGAATAATAAATATCAAAGAATACATCAAAAATGAGGTTGAATAAACGGCATAGCATGTGGCTATAACATGGATTGTGTCGAAGCTAAAAATGACTTTTGTAGGTTATGAGAGGCTTCCTAACACCTCAGATATTCTTTCATTTTAAACTTAGTACTTCTTATGAATCTGACGTTAGTGTTTTTATTATTTTTAACTTTGTTTTCTACGAGAAGGTCTCTTGCGCAAACTTACTGAAATCAAAATGAGACAGAATTTTTACTATTTAATGTTAAATTTCAATTAGAGTACTCATCGCCCATTTGTAATCAATAGCTCAACTTTGCTATTCCAGCTACATATGTTATGTTGCTTAGAAATTGATCGATTATGATGAAATGCTCACTTGACCACGCCCTAATTTTCAGACCACACCCACTCATGCCCCTCCAGTTATTTGGAGCCGGTTTAAAATTCTGAGTCAGTCCGGCACTGTAGGCAGGGAATGTACACGCCTTATATGATCATCACTCTATCTAATTTTCAAGTAACAATACAAATACGATAAAATACTAGTTAGATTGCAGCTAAAGTCATTGAAATCCACTTTCCATATAAATCATCTTTGTTGAAAAAATTAGACGCTTAGAAACTAGTTTTCTAAACTAATATGAAAAAAATTTCGATTACCTTTTAAGAGTCTCTGGGATGTTCACTAAGGTCAGAAACAAGGATATGACCAACATAACGAAAGTTATAAATACTGGTAGAAGATATGGGAACTTTCCAAATAAAGAATCTAAAAAAAAGTTCAAAATGTAATTTTCTGAAAATGCAGACCACATGTTGTGCATATATTAAATGTGACCAATTGCCAAATGCATTAATCTTGGAAAGAGGATATCATTGCGATAAATGAAATGAAAGAAACTCGTCTAGGTAGCTACCTAAATAAACACAACTTAGGTGGAGAGAGCGAGAATAAAAATAAAAGATTACTGTATTAAACTTGACTGAACGATGTAGCTACTTGGAAAAACTGTGACACAGATTAAAGAGCTCTAATACCAGAATTGCTCTCAACGAAAATCCTCTGTTAGAAGGAAGCATTCAAAACAAATGCGATTTTTCAATTTTAATAAATTTGTTAGATTTAATCGTTAGACGATAATGTTAGACAAATGCTACAAAAATACCTTTGGAGAAAGTTGCTGGAAAAGACTCGGCCGGAAAAACTAAAAACCCTACGAAGAAAAGAGGAGGAGAAAAAGAATTAGTTTATTTGAGTCTGAGATAAAGATACCAGCCCAGCCCAGCCCAGCCCAGCCCAGCTCCCAGCCCAGCCCAGCCCCCAGCCCAGCCGAGCCAGCCGGTCCAGACCCAGACCCAGCCAAGCCACTCCACAGTCCAGCCCAGCAGTCGCCGCCCGCCCAAGCCAGGTCCACCTCCGAGCAGCCAGCACACCAGCACCACGCTCACTGCCGTCGCAGCGGGCTCTGCCCAGCAGCGCTCACTCCGCAGTTCCCAGCCGCATCCCAGACGCCCAGCCCAGCCCGCCCGCCAAGCCCATGCTCCACCCAGCAGCTCAGCATCCCAGCCAGCGCAGCCACGCCCAGCATGCACCCAGCCCAACCAGCCCAGCCCAGGCCCCAGCCCAGCACAGCCAGCCCAGCCAGCCCAGCCCAGCCCATCCAGCCCAGCTAACTCGCTTCTTTATCATGATTGACTTTGAAACAAGAAGACATACCGCCTACAGCTGGGCCAAATACAAACCATTTGAAAGACGGCTTAATATTAATGCTATTCACGACTCTGAAAAACAAGACAAGAGTTCGCATGAGTAGGATGCATAGTGGTGACAGAGATTAGGGCTAATTTCTATAGGATTATTCCCGAGACTATGATTATTTTGTGATTACATTGATCAAAAGGATACATGTGGAGCGGTTGAGTACTAATAACTTATGCTCTTTCAAGTTCCTATTCGTCTAATTGCAAGGATAGGGCTCTAGAGAGAAGATATGCTATTGAGAAGTCTTTCGTCTCTTGTCCATCGTTCATGATGGACACCTCCGTTGGATGTCTACTCTAACATAACATTCTCTATTGGTCATTTATATGGCCGGTTCCAAGGGCTTCTCCGTGTGTTCTTTCCAGGGCCGCGGCTTGTTATTCCAATGCAAGTACAACTTGGGGAAAAGTCAAGGGCCTAAGCCTAAATCAACCCTACTCCATTTTAAAGATTAGATTGGTTCAAAAAACTGCTTTAGACATTGAAAATGTTTTAACTTTCAGTCCAAAATATAAACCAAACGGAAGACTATCCACTGGAAGTAGCTCTAAATGTACATTAGGTGGGGTTTTGAGCTTGATGAGCAGTTCAAAGTAGCATAAGAAAAATAAAATGTAGCTCAAATTGATTTCCTTCCTGTTACTCTCTCAAACATGCGCGGAAAGTCGTCGCACTTCATGAAAGCTAATACAGTCCCACACAAATCTCTAGAAGGAATGCTGATCGTTATCAAGGCCCATTTGAGTATTAAGACTGCTTCAATACCAATACATAAGAGTTGCAAGAATGGCCATATTACGATCCAGTTTGTTGGTGCCGGGACGTTGAATGTATGACCGCGACATTTGACGCTAGTCAACCCAACTCAATAACATTAGTACTTAAGAAATATACTAAGAAAGTATTCATAAGTTCTGTTCCGATTAAGTGCTATAACTAGTTTCACCTGACACAGTTCAGGATTCTGGACGCAACAAAATATTCACTAAGTAATATATTCCCGCTCCATCAGCTCTTACCGAGCTCAGTCTTACGTAAGCAGGACATGGGCTCCAACTCCTAATAGCAATGTATTCATTTGTTTAGTTGCACGTATGTACAATGTCTAAATTATGCCGCCCAAAGATGATGCAAAGCTTCTTGACCACAATACGGAAAACAATATTTCTTGCCAACATTAAGACAAGAGCTAAAATGTGAGAAATAAATGATTCATTAAGATCATACTCAAGTATGACTAGAAATGAATTGTACAAAGTGTGCAATAAGAGAAATAACCCTTTAAAGGATTCTACAAATACAACACATTAAATGCTTATAACACTCTCCAAACGCATCTTCGCTAACGAGAAAAGTGGATAGAAACGGCCAGCTGATTGCGCACACAAAATGACTATAGAAATAACACATTTGGAGGATGATGAAACGTGATAATGTGAAAGAACGACGATAACTAGCATACATTATTAGTGTAGGTATGGTTAATTTTACAAGATCACAGAGACATCCAATCTTGCTAAGTTTAACATTCTAAAGAACTACTGCATTAATACTTAGTATATATAGTAATTAATTACGTATTCTATGATTGTGTAAACTGAAGAATAGTAAGACTCAATAAATCCTATCGATTTGATATAAAGAATTCCATTCAAAAGCACTGACTCTACTTTAAGTTTTCTAGAGGAACTGAAAGATTGGATATTCTCTAAAGATGAATAGTATGTCAGACTCACTAAAGGTCCTCTCTTCCAGAACCTAAACATGTCCACTTTGCTTTTGGTTTGTACTGGCGAATTTCATGATTCTTGATTTGTGAATAAAACCCCCCAAAAGAAATATTATTTTTAGTACGAACAATAGAAACTAAAAAAAAACCAAATATTCAATCTTTGATAGTAAATTGAGCATCCCAAAGCAAAGAATTGAGACCCAGCGGAAGATGTATGGTCCTATCTCCCTCCCATCCACTATAATTATTGGTAGCTTATTCTCTCTGTTTCCCCCAGTAAAAAGATAACCCCCGCGAGGAGCCTTAAAATTTAGGCAGTGATTGTGCCTCAAGGTATAAGTTTTTTCTGCGTCTATACTAAATTTCAACAACCAAAATTTATAAGGCTAAGTTTGCAGCATTAGTCGAGCTGCCGAAAAAGTTATTTAAGGTTATAAAATATTAGTAATACCAATGCAAATCCCATGTTACATTAGTACATCGTTATAGCGTGTAATTTCACGAACCATTTTTCCACTTGTAATTTTGTGCGTCTGGATAAATACCAAATAACAAATGAACAAAACCTCACCCAATATCAATTAGCCTCCCGAATGAAGACTAACTGTGTTCTGTGAAAATATATATTTTGAACAACGGCGTCCTAAAATTCTCGTTGTATATTATCGTCTACTTTTTCCCCTGTATACAAAATCAATCTCTGCAGATAAGCTTTCGATGGTTCACAGAATGCAATACGAAAATCTAACCATAAAAAATTTTCAAGATAAGATAGCCACCAGAAAATAATAAAAAAGTTATAGTACAGAATTGGATTATTGGAAGCAATGGAAATTATCAACACTTTGTTTTGATCAAAGTAGATGTTGTATGCCCAGCAACACTGACAGACATCAGAGAAGTATGTCATGCGGCGCTGTCATACCTACATTCTGTTTCTGCAGAAAAAATCAAACATTCAGAATTCAAGCTAGAATTATGGCCTCTTAAGTTATGTTGGTCAGCCCCCACCACTTTTGACGGCTCTCCTTTTTCATTCGCCATCACAGCTGCTGCATAATTCGCCTTATTTCTCTATCAATGATGCCTTGCAAATTAAATCAACCTATCTACACCAGAGGTCAATTTTCTTTTCTGTAACCCAAACCAGAATAAACTACGATCTATGTCAAACCAAATTAGTCTCTTAAAAGCAATTGGACAGAGCGAGTGGTGTGTCTACCATGAAAGTCAAGTTTGAGGTTTGTCCATGTCACACAACAGGGGCAGAAACACAGGGCCGGACTTTTTCACTTCCTATCCTGCTAATTCCGTCTGCCTTAGCTTCAAATATGTAATCAACAAAATTCAAATTTCGTTGCATAGGTTATTCCCCTAGTATCCAACCTCATCGTGGAAAAGAAACGTTACAGAAGCCGCCTAAAGAAGAAGACAGACCTAGCGCTCCAACATCGAACAGAAATTTATTCTTGATGGTTGACCTCCCCCGGTCCGTAATATCACAATAGCGAGCGGACTGAACTATAGTCTTAGCTGAAACTATTACACTAGTAATACCACCCCAAGTGACATCAGTCTGGTCTACTTCGCAGACATGCAACATCGATCTCTTTCACAGAACATTTCGGTCATAGATATTGCTGAATTCAGAACCGGTAGAGTCTATGAGTTAACCCAGAGAAGGTATAAGCACGTAGCAATTTTCACCACCAAACCCCTCCCGTTGAACTTAAAATCCAGTATACTGGTACCCCCACCACAATCATATTAATTTCCGATTCAATCACATTTACCTTTCAATACGAAAACTATCTGCCAGCTCAGTCATCAAATTCGCGTTTGTGTTACGTTCAACATTACACCCTCATCATTCTTTGGTTAAAAAATTATTGAGCATTCGGCCAGTTGAATAGTTTCAGTCATGCCATTTCCAAGCTGAAATAGTGAAAGCAAAGAAAACTTTACGATTATAATATATTATTTCCTACCAATTATAACGACTGTTACAATGAAAAAGATTCCACTGACTTTTTTGCCAAACTAAATCATCTTTATAAGTACAATCAGTCCTCCTCCGAAAGACCGTGACTTCAACCACATAGGTGACAATGTTGGGCCTTCGAGACACGAACTGAAACTAATGAGCTAAGGCGTCTATCCCTCCTCCAGGTAGTAGCCATTCCTGGTTTTTTTCAATGGACCCCTTTTCTAAACATTAAAAATCAGTTGAAGACAGTACTAAAATTTTACAAAGCCTTTTTCGTTTCATAAAAAAATGTTTTCGTTGTGAGCATATTTGAAAACTTTTTGAGATTTTATCCGGATCCAAATACCCGTTCACCTCACGGTACTCTGTTCTCGTTGGGTTCATTTGAACATGTCTATATCTACATCCTTCAGAGCCACCAAATAACATATTTACCCATGTATTCCATGGTTAGACCTCGCAATATATCCATGTATGGCAATTATAATTGTCAACTTTACTTCTATAGCTTGTTTACATGTAAAAACCAAAATGTTTGTATCAAATCCGAATTCAAAAATAATAACCAACCACAATCAAAATAATATGTTTGTCTTGCACCAACAGGTAACGCTAAAGTTCATACAAAGAAGCCCAAAGCAACAAATCGTAAAATACTGCACACATTACAGATGAAGAACTAGGAGAATTGTTGAATGTTATCTCAACGACTATTACAGAGCTAGACATACTCGGGTGTGGTCTTGTAGTGACGCCATTTATTTCGAGTCAGTACGTATATTACAAGTATACGTTTCACACTTTTTACCATGGCTATCGCCAGACACGTACCATTTTACGTATTCTTAGGTGCTTGCTGTGATCAATTTGACACGAAGGATAACATACTTTCAGCGAGATGAGTTATGCAATGCAATCATTCCCCCTTTCCCATAAATACTATAACACACGGGCAGTTTATGTCCCCTTGTAACCACAGACGAGCTATCTATTTATCCATATCTGTAATGAAACAGTCCCCTTTATGGCCCCCTTCGTTTCTCTTAATGTAAGAATAACATAGCTGTATTTTTTCCAAACCAGATGCCCTTGACTAAAAGTCTGTATCGCAATGGTCTATTAATTGGTGGTCGCCACAGTACAAATTTCTATTAAATATAAACCAATCACAAAATATCGAAGTTTTTATTGGCTTTACTTACTAGTGATTTCTCTTCATACATAGTCTATGACCAACTCAAACATTTCAAAGCTTATATGAGATTATCGTTAACTCCTATATGTAAATCCATAGTAAACGCTCTTCCCCAGTCTAATGCAGCCTTACCTAGCTAGAATGTAGATCAACATCTAAAACCCCTTCATGATCTCCTTTTACACATTTCTCATAAGTAACTTTCTATACCTATTGTCCACTAGTAAGGAGATATTGAGATTGATATGACAATTTTTATAGATATAAATCAACACAAATACTCCCAAAACCAGATAACATCCACCGGTTTTGATAACGATTCAAACTACCTATGTCAGGCAAAATCAATTAAAACAAAACTTCTTCACTTTATAATAAAGCTAAACTTTGATTACTGAAATCTCACAATAATAGGTTGGCCTCCAAAAATTGACCTGGCTATCTTAACCCAGAGACTACAGGTTGTATCTTTGGCCCTACAAGTTAGGATTGGCCTATTTTGACTATAATAGATCCTTGAGCACCATTATAAAGCCCTATATGCTCCGGTTCCCGATTATACCATTAAATGGTAGTGGCTGCCCCCTACAAATAGCACCAACCTGCTGCCTCGTTTAAAATTCTGCTTTAATTAAACGACTATTATTTGTAAAACAACAGTGTAGTATAATAAAACCGCGGAGTTTTCCATCACATAAGAAACCCAGTCCCAGCTCTAATCTCTTTGTAAACTTTCGAAACCTAGTTTGAAAGTTCCCATACACTCATAAAAACATTGTAAAAAAAACTTGACCAATAGTCGAATAATGATGGCCCAAAATTTCAGATTAACCCTTTACTACCCATAACCCCAAAATTATATGATTTCCTTTTTCAATTATCAAGACTTCCACAAAGTATTGTTATAAAATTACATTCGTTAGCCCTTCTACCGTACGCTATAATAAATTCCGCGATATAACCAAAATTAAATAAAATAACTAATTAGTTGTTCTTCCCAAGAGCCTGAAATCCATAATAAAATGTTGAACTTTAGCATTAAATACAATACGCCGATATAAACTTTGCCCTGAGCTCTTTTAAGCATTTATTTTACGCAAGAGTAATAAATGCTAAAAATAATATCATTTACCTGAATAATCAATGATTCCTCATCTCCCCTAAGACATGTCTAAAGAAGAATAATCACAAATCTTAAAATTAAATTATACAAAATCTAAATCCATTTAATAGGTAGTCAATATTTTACAATAAAGAGAAATATGGTAAATCCTATGAAATGAATCCCAAATCAGATATATAACAAAACACGAAAAGCAACGAAAATTACGGAATATAGATTAGTGGGAGAATTGGAAATAACAAAAAAACATAACTATAGTTAAAATTCCGGTTCTTAAAATTTTAGGACATTTTACGAGAACTTATGAAAAATTATAGGTAATCGTGAAATATCATATATAACTAATTAGATTCCGGCCGCATGTAAATGAATGAAAATGAACTATAAAGTATTTTCTAAGCATCTGATACCTTGTAAGGCAATACATTACAATACGACTAAATGATATCGGAATATCTCCTTTTTTTTCTCTTTGAGATGTATTTTGAGCTAACCGATCTATTAGTAAATTATGTGTTGATTCTTTATATCTACTGTGCAATAACGTAAGTTTAGCCTGAACTAATTATTTTTAATGTTTGTACAGTCGAGATTATTACTTTGATCTTCAGTACAGTTAAGAGGGAGATCCTTGCAGAATAATTTAAGAGAGAATTCAATGTCTACTAGAGTTAAAAAGTTGTCCATCTTTTAAGACAGACCCTCTTATCAATTTCTTTTTAAAACATTTGCTAACGGGTCTCAACATTTTTGTATAACCGGTTGTTGCTACGGCTAATCTGAAATAGAGACCACCAAGTTGGACTAGGTTCGTAAAGTTGACCTGTGGAAAGAGAGCGAAGGCAACTGGCGCTTCCCCACACATGCTCAGGAAAGCTTATCACTAGAGAAAAGTGCCAAGTAAAAATCTCAATAAATAAATTTGTTACTTTAGGGGGGAGGTACGAAAATAGACTATAGCAAAAAACCAAGGCTTTATTTTGCCAATAATTGGTAATAGCATGCCAAAATTTTCTCAGCAAAATCT